AAAAGATTTTTGAAGTTCGGAATGTGTTATTCGGAATCAGCGTCCAAAGACGAACCAGAATATGTATTAAAATCGAAAAAATAAAATTCACTTGAATTTTGATCTAGCTGAACCTTACTTACGAAAGACGTCATTTTAAAACTCTTATAACTCCGTCAATATGACGTCTAGAAACCTAAGAAAATTTTGATATGCATAATTTGATGATTAGAATGAGATCACAAACGATATATGTTATTTTCATATAAATAAATTTCATAAATAGATTTATTTCAGGAAATTCCTTTTTCCTTTTTCTTTCTATATCTCTGGCTGACAATGAACATTTAGGGCTTTTCTTGTAAATTCTATAACTTTGCAAAGGAAGGTCATATAGAGCTAGAAGATGTCTCATTTTTATCAGAATTTCACCGGCTACAAACATGACCTATTAAGAAAAGTTTCGGAGATATTTTGGAGTTTTTGGAAAACCGGTTTTTCCTCTGAACTTAAAAGTCTAAGTAAAGTTTTTCAACAAAAAGATTTAAAATGATCCTTTATGATTATTCCTTTTATTTTTTCTTTAATTTTATCCACGTTCGTAATATGTATTATTAATTATTATTGTAAAATAATCTTTTATTATCATCCTTTTAAATTTTATTTATACTCGTGATATTTGGTATACAAATGAGGGTCTAGAAATTTCTAGACGTAGGCTTAGCTTGATATTCTATGGTAATACTTGATATACAATGGTATACTTTATGTTACCACAGCAGCTTCTGCAAATCTAAAAACTGAAAAATACTTGGAAAACTAGTATTATTAAACACTGTTTGTACTAAAGATTCTCTCACAGACGTGTGTCACGCCTGACAACAGTCTCGCCAAATGCAGTTTGACAAGCTGAATCCAAATATATATTCAGATCTTTCCTGTGATCTATTGTTTCGCAGGAAAGCACAATATTATTGTTTCACTCCTTAAGCTACATTGAAGATTACGGTAAAAAACATCAAAATTCAGTTGATTTTGGCTGAGAAAAATTCATTTTATTCTCTTGTCCGCTGTGATATAAGTGAAATATATTATTTTCATCAAACATTCTCTGACAAACGTGTAAGGAAAAACAGTGCGTCATGTAGAAGTCGATGAGATCTGTCCAAATATGTCTTGAGCTCGTTTACCTATTGATATTATCTAAGAAAACTTCATTTTATTCCTTTCTCCATCGTGTGAAAATAGTATGAAGAATATGAAAACAAGATGATCATATTCAGAATAGGAAGAAAGCATTTAAATGTAAGAAAAATTTAAGCAGAGAAAAACGCAACAAGAGCAGTTGACAAATAATCAGCAAGATTCTTACCGTGATTCGTTCTCTGAGGACGTGTATGAGTCTGTCGTGTCAGTTTCACTAGGCCCTTCCGCTAATATTTCATTTGAATGTATAGCATGTTTTATTTTTGCCATATTTCTTTGAATTTTGTTGAATTTTTGATGTAGTTTCTAGAAAGATCGACTGATTAGAGATAAAATCGGAAATGTATGGAGAAAAGTTTTTTTATCACGATTTTCCAATTTGTTCTTGTTGTTTTCGACTTATAAAGGGTTGATGAGCCAATCTTTTCAAGATTTTTCTTGGTGGTTTAGTGATAGATCGAGGAATAGATTCCTTAACCGATTTTGTAGTTTAATCATTGGTGGGGTCTGTAACTGGAAAGTTTCGGTTTTGAATTGAAAATGACGTTAGTGGTAAAATGGGTTTGAAAGACATTAAACATTGAATTTGTGGTTTCCTGAATCATTTTGATTTTTGTGGATACGGTGAATACACTTAATAATGAAGATAAGAACAACAGACACCTCTTTAAGCATTTTGAGACGTTTCGCACTTTATTCTAAGTACATCATCAGTCAAATGACGTTACAATTAAAAAAGGACAGTTAAATATATAGGATTTCGTCTTCCTATATATTTAACTGTCCTTTTTTAATTGTAACGTCATTTGACTGATGATGTACTTAGAATAAAGTACGAAACGTCTCAAAATGCTTAAAGCGGTGTCTATTGTTCTCATCTTCATCTTTCGTTGACTCATCTTCATCTTTCGTTGAAGACTGATACATTTAATAAGAATTAAGAACCAAGAATAGTAACTGAACGGTTGAAGAAACAACTACTTAATAGTCTATATATACAGCCATTCTTGCAGCCAAGGAAAAAACGTTTTGCTTTTCACTTTATGACACAACACTGTAAAGTGGCGATCTTTGTTAAATCTTACTTCTTGTATCAATTCCGATCATTTTGTTTGTGTATCTAGGTTGATGTCTGATAATGTATCTATTTGCTTCCTATTATTTCGAATATAAGTGCATTAGCGCTTTACATCAAGCCTTGTCTGTTCCGATTGGCTGTCAACAGAATAACTGAAGGCTATCTTATCATATTTTACGGATAGACATACAGTTAATTTTACAGACTAAAAGTGAAAAGAGTTAATCGTATTCTGCATAGTTGGATTGCGTTTTTTGTCTAGATCATGAATATCAACTCTGTTATGAGTAAAACTGCTTTGGCGAACTAAAAGGAAACAGAAACGAGAACAACGTTTTCGAATATAACATATAGTAGACCCGTATCAAATAATGGATACCTTATTGTCTTTATATCTTGCATATGCTTCGCACTTCCCGTTGATTGCAGTTAAGCCAGGAGCCTGAAGCCACTTTTATAAAAAAAACTTAAGTTCGAATTAACTCGTTGACTTAAGTGTAAAACGAAGTTGACGTTAAGTCACACTTAAGTAAAGCTTAAGTTTTGCCGTAACTGTGTTTTATAAAGCGTAACTCAAGTGTGACTTACCAGTTAAGTTAAAAAATTGACTTAAGTGTATTTAGTGCTTGGTAAATGCGTCACCGTGATAGATTTAACCAGTATAGCTTAGAAAAAATGCGAGGGCTGACTCAGCACTGACATTTTTTCCAATCTCTAAAGCTGACTCCGGCTGAGTGCTTTTATCATAGTTTCTAAGTGACACTGTGAGAAAAGTGAAGTGACTAATTGCAGAGATGTGCGGACAAAGTGTCTAAAGACGAATTGACGAATCGCAATTTTTAAGCGTAAAAATGATGCAACAATTCGCGTTTTATCCGTATTTTGCGAATTCGTACATTGAGCACAAATCACATTTGTCATATAACTTATCAACAATGGTATAAGCCAAGGGTACTTTGGTAAACAGATTCTTAACATCGATGGAAATCATTCTTAAATTTAATTGAGATTCAGAAAACGGTTTCACTGTATTAGCAAATTCAAATGAATCTTTTACCGTACTCGCACTAGACCGCAAATATGCTAATCGTTTAGCTAACATTAAACCCAATCCATAATTAAACGTTTTAATTGATGACAGAATTGATCTAATCGGTCTATTTGGCTTATGAATTTTGGGTAAACCATATAATCGGGCAAAACGCGATCCTACTGGTCTCGCTAGTCTGTACTCTGCATCACTGATAAAGCCACGTTCATGCAGTTTCAATAAAAACCGCACTAATTTATCTTCTTTATTCATAGTTACACAAATTACAATAACATTCATTTTCTCAATATACTCACTTTTATCAAGAATAACGATGCCTTTACCCTTATCTGGCTTACAGATAATAATAGATTTATCAACAGACAAACTTTTTAATGCTTCCTTATAATTATTATGTGCAGACCGATTATGATATAATTTATATTGTGTATTATGAATAAACCTATTTGTCATCTGTCGGAGTCATAGTGGTGGAGTTTTGTAGTGGAATACGATTATCGGAATTTAAATTCAATTTGAGAAGCTTCTTTACTAATTTTCTTCTCCACAGTGTCGCTTTATCATTAATAACAGAACATTTAATTACTTGAAGTTTAGCTAAAACAGCTGGACGAACCTAGGTCTCAATGTGAGACAACACATTTTTCGACAGACGATGAACACGACTCAATAATCTACGTTTGTACTTAATTTCAGTTTTCAATAAAATTTGTTTTAAATTAATAGCTTTTTGGCTACCTTGAACATGACTTGGTAACTTGATACGAATGAACATTGGCTTCAACTTTCTACTTTCTACGCATACATGATTTCAAGAATATTAAATCTAATTCAGTTTTTCTAATTTTCAATTGCAAACTTACATAATCTCGAAAATAGAAACATAAATCAGGCCCGTAATGCCGCCGGAGATACGATTGAACATTATTACAATTTAGAGCCAACAAGCGAATAAAAATAAATTTTTGTACAGCAGCAGTCATTTATTTAATTTAATAATTTAAATTTATCTTGACGTTTCGACTTTTCATAGAGTCATCTTCAAAAGTGAAATACAAACTATATACAGTTACAATTTAAGATTTAGATAAACAGAATGATGAAACTGGTCTGTATATACTTGCGATTTGACTACTGATCAGAATAGAAAATCATGAATTTTCTTTTACTTATTCTATTGACTTCGTGTCTGTTCATTCCTTTTCTCTCTTTCTACTTTCTTCAATGTAATGTGTGTAACCGCCTGGATCATATATTTTCTTATGATTCATAGATAAACCATCAGAAAATACAATTAACGGTACCGATCGAACTGTACCGTTTAAATCAGGTTTCAGTGCTAAAATGGAGAGACTCCTTAATAAGTAAACGATATTGAATCCTGTCTCGCTCAGTTATATTCCAG